GGGGAGAGCCCCGGAGTGACAGCGACCACCTCGCCCACTCTCTCCCACCCTCTGCGAGAAGAAACCGCTGCCGCTAGGGCCTGAGCGCCTGGAGGGAAAATGCAGCCGGACGGTCACCGACCGCACCCTGACCCAAGACCGGCCTTCGGGTTTTACGGAGTATCCCTTAAAATTCTGCAGGCGAAAGAATTACACGATCTGCAGACACAGACTCCCACATGGCTAACGGCGGTTCAAATCCCGGGTTCCAGGAGGAGAATGGAAGAGAAAGGATTGCCGCGGGGTCATCCCTCCTGGAGGGTGATTTCTCGCTTTCTCTGTCTCTGTTCCAGGAGCACCCTATACCAAATCTCTCTCTCTCTCTCTCTCTCTCTCTAAAAAGAAGAAGAAGGAGCAGCAGCAGCAGCACTCTGCCAGGAGGCTGTTGTGCCAAAGTGTCTGATGCTAGCTGAAAGAGCCCACGGGAAAATGCACTAAAGAAATTCAAAGGGTTCAAACCCATTCCCCAGCCTCCCTAGATAATGGTGGCGTTAAGCCCTGGGGCTGAAGCAATTTTTTTAAGAGTTGTGAAGGGCAAGGGACCAGCGGGTGGCGGGATAGTTAAGTCGCTGGACTCCCACGTAGTTGACAGCAGTTGGAGTCCCCAACCAAGTCTTAAAACTCAAGCCAGATGTGTGTGCGTGCTCAAAATCCCAAGAGGAGAATGGAGGAGAGGGGATTGTTTTGTGGCCATCGGCCGTGGGAGGGGTGATTTCTTGCTTTGTCTCTCTGGTGAGCACATGCACCACCCTATAGCAAACCTCCTCCCAAAAAAAGTATTTGTAATGCAGTGATAGTAGTTAATTATAATAGAGGTAAATGATGAAACAATTTTTTATTGTATGTAGCATTTTACAATAATTACCTTATGACTGACAGTGTCATATTAAGATTATTAAACTTGGGGCGAGCCGGTGGCGTGGTGGGTAAGAATGCTGGACTCTCACATGGCCGATTGCAGGTCAAGTCCTGGACCTGGTAGCTTGTTTTCTCGCTTTTCCTCTCTCTCTCTCTCTCTCTCTCTCTCTCTCTCTCTTTTTTTTTTTTTTTTTTGGGAGTGC